ACAGTCCACCAACTTTTACTGTTACTTGCTTTTTCTCGACGTGGCCGCGAGGCCCTAAATCACATCTGTCAGGGTTTCAGGCTGCCACACAAACACACCTGCTCAATATGGCAAAAAAAGGAAATTACAAGGTGCTGATATCGATAAATAATCACAGCAGGGTCGGGACAGGCTGCAGCCTGGTTGTGCACAGATGGATAAAGTATTGACGTTTGCTGCTGCGAGTGTCAAATGAGGACAGATTATAGCAAGTTTGAACAGAAGAGAGAACTGCAAGATGATATTTGATAGGTTAGGTTTCAGCAGCTCAAAAATACTTAAATCAGGACACTGAAATCAACCTTCTTCAACCTTTTTTGGAGCTGGTGGAAATACGATAGAGTTTACAATGGTGGCCTTCAACACCTGTAAGAGTGCATACATGCTGTGATGTGAACAATTTATGGATATTATGGTTTGATGCATGCAGACTGCACAAACATAACTGTGATTTGTTTCAATAAGCCCTTCTCTGATTAACTTGGAGGACAACGAGTCAAACGAGTTTCCTCTGCCAATGTTCAACCAGATGCTCTCCCTGTTTAACTAAAAACCCCAAATTTTTTATGTTTTAATTCCATCTGTTCAGTTTGGTATGTTATTGATCAGCACTTCTGAGATGGTCCTTTAAATTTCTGACAAGGGAAGAATTGGTTATGGGTACAATTGCTAGGGAGAACCAAGTGGAGGAATGTGTCCATGGCCTCAGGACCTCATCTTCGGTTTTTTGCAGAGGATGTGATTCTGTTGGCTTGAGTTTGAGGCCATTCCTCTCAGCTGGTGGTGGTCAGAAGGTGTTTTCCAATGTTTCTATGTGAAATTGTTCCTATTATTATTGTAGGGTCTTTACTATACAACATAAATGCAACTGAATTGAACTGAATTAATTCCTTGCTTATATTAATAAATGACAGTAGATAACAAGAATTACAAAGGGTTATATATATATATATGTGGAAAAATTACAATATATGTACAGAACTGTTATAGTAGTAATTTCTGTTGCCCTCTTGGTCAGATCTCTCTTGAAAAAGACATTTTTAACATCAATTACACTTTTACCTGCATAAATAAAGGATACCTACAAGACTCTTTGGCAAAAACTGATTGCACCTCCTACTTTGTAACAGGATTGTTCTTTTTGGCTCATAATGACTTGATATCATTCATGAGAAACATGTTTGGCACGTGTTTGACATATTCAAGGGCAACAAGCCATTCAATATGTTTTAATACCGGATATCACTTTTTTGGTAGAACACTGGAACAAGGTGGAGTGTCCACTCTGGGTGAGGGACGAGTTGCTGGTTCAACTGGAGAAGTTTAAGTATCTTGGGGTCTTGTTCATGACTGAAAGGAGAGGGGAGCGAGGGATTGATAAATTGGGGTTGATCTACATCCCTACACTCACCTATGGTCGCGATATTGGAGACAGCAGATAGAAGCGGCAGAACAGAGTTTTCCTTTAGAGATAGGGTAAAAAGTTCAGTCATTCAGACTCAGGGTACTGCCGCTACTCCTCCAAATTGAAAAGGTGCACCTGAGCATCTGACTAGGTCGCCTCCTAGACTATGTGTTCCCTACAGGACAGAAACCCAGGGGCAGAACCGGGGCTCATTTATGTCTCTTAGCTTGCCTGGCAACTCCTTGATGTTCCTCCAGGTGAGTTGGAGTACGTGGCTGGAGAAAGGGAAGCCTTGGACCCAGATAAGAAGCAGAATATGGATGATGAACTGGCGGTGCAGTGGTAGCTCTGTTACTTTACAGCAATGTCTCTTTTACTCAGTGACAGATCACCATTTTGGCAGCATTATCAAATATATCAATACAATTGTTTCTTGTTACCAACATTCCTAAATCACAACAGTGTATAAGAGCAGGGGGTTCCACTCTTTCTAATCTGTTCAACCTTGTTTTGCCAGTATTAAGTTGCCATTTCAAGCTGGATCCCTGCGTGATGGACTTTTTTTTTCCTCCCCAGGTTATCTTTGTTCACCAACTATGAACCTCTCTTACTGGGCAAGGACCAACAGATTGTAGCAGCAGTCACACTGTGAGATGGTCCTCGTGACATTGTCTACATCTAAATTTGTCCACAAACTGTGTCCAGAGTCCATTGCAGCAGCCAACTCTGTGATGTCAAACATCTAAAGACAATGCTGTTCATCCTTCAAGTCTGAGAATCAGCTGTCCTGTGTGCACCCAGCTTAAGAAAATGACTGGATTTCAGGAGGCAGCAGCTGGACAAACAGCTGTTGGAAATAGGTTTAGTGCCACATCAACAGGCCAATGCCAGCAAGGTCATGTAAATATAAAATGTGCCAAATTTACCTTGCTGTGCAACAAATATATCCAGCGAAAGTAGCACATATGTAAAGCCCAGTTTCATTAGTGCAAACTAACCACATTTTGCACAAGTTATACTGTATATGTGAAGTTCACAGTTGCTTTGTGTCATTTTTATAAGAAAAAAAATGAAAATAATTTAAACTTTGGAAAATTTAAAGGCAACTATGTTGTTGCTAATTTATTATGTTCACAAAGCATTTTCACACACACACGCCCCCCCCCCAGCTCATGTCTGAATTTTTATAAGAGGTGTACTTCTCTAGGTTGTACATTTTCAGTCATAGCAGTGACCGATGGGTGGAGGCTTCACATCGAGTTCCTGACTAATCTTCAGGCTCTGCTACTGAGGGAAATGCTGCTGATTTGTGCACAACAGCCACTAATCATTTCTACCTAGAAAATGCTGACTGTACACTACTTTGGCTGCAAATGAAGGAAGGAAATTATTCAGGTACAAAGGCCCAAGAAGGTAACAAAGGAAAGCTTGATTTAACCACACACTGGTGGAAAACTGATGCCTGTGGACAACAAGTCTGCTGTTTTTACCCATATCTACATTTAAAATATCAACTCATGCTGAAAGTTAAGACAGCTGTTGTAACTTTAATGCGAAACAGACACTTTACACAGAAAATATGAGAACCTACTTGTAGCTTGAGGAATGTGGGTTAGAGGATGGAGGACAGGAGATGATGAGGCTGGGAATCATGACTGACTCTGAAATGACAGCAGGAATTATGTGTATGATGCTATTGAAGACGCCGAGTGTCCCCTGATGCATCTGAAAACAATCTCTGCTCTGGAGGAAAGAGCTATGAACACTATTCTTAACTCAATAATAATACATTTATAGACCTTAGTAAGACATTGGTCTTACTTTAGATACAGTAGTTAGAACAATAAAATCTTAGTAAAGGAATACCACAAAATGTAAGGTACCGCAGTTAAACACAAATATAAAAATAACCATCTTCTAAGACTTATAAAGGCCTAAATATCAGAGAGTGTATATAAACTGGCCTTGGCCAGTGATTTATCAGTGAGCTCCAGCTGTGGGTACTTACTTTAATTCAAGATATCATAAGCATGGAGGAGATCTGACAGAGCAACACTGCTCACTCCTCATTGACTAACTTGTGTTAGCCAATGAGCATGTACTTCCTATTTCCTTCTGTTTTAGATAATTTACTGAGTATCATGTTGTATTCAGTAAGACGTTAAACTTGCGAGACTTTAGTTTCACACGTGTAATGGTCATCTACCAATCGGAAAGTTGGTGGTTTGATCCCAGGATGCTCCAGTCTGCATTTCAAAGTATCTTTAAGCAAGATTTTTTATTTTTTTTTTAGTACCGGAGCTATGAGCGTCCTTGGTGCCAAAAGCAGTGGTCTGATTGGTCAGATTTGTTTATTCAAATGCAAAAAATCCTAAAAAAGTGAGCTTGACCAGAAAAATTAAATGGCACAAATTCATCCTGCGAAATTACACGATCGTTATGAGAATAGGTGAGTCAGAGATAGAAAGGACTGCGATTGTGAATTAGACATGTTGTAAAACGTGTTTTGATACCATATAGAATCCAGTCAATTTTCAAAATAAAAGACCCCTGAGCTCCGCTTTTGGAATGCCCCCAAGGTGCTTTGAAGCTCTCACAGAAACACACCAGTGAGGCAGAGGGCGGTTTTCATTTAAGTTGTAGTCACACAGGCTTAGAGACCAGTCTGTGGTCATCTGGCAACCACCATCTGGTTGCTAGGCCAAAATTTGCATTCGCAATCCGGTTGGCTAGGGGTTGCTAGCCTAAAACTGGTAACAAAGAGGATATATGATACTGCACCGAAAAACCTTCTTGTGACTGCCTTGGTTGCTAGCAGGTTGCTTGCCGAAGGTGAACGCTCTCCATTTCTAGTCTGTGTTGCACTTTTTCGAGTTTCACTACAGCTTGAGTGAATGTTGAGTGCAAACTGCATCTCTCTGCAGCTGATATCCTGGCAACTGTCAGCAAACTGCAGCAGTCTCTTGCAAATATACTGTACATCTTTCCCTAGCGACTGAAGGTTGTTAAGCAGCCTCTACGCCTTGTGGCTGAGATCTTAGGCTTTTATCCAGCCAGGCACCCCCTGCTGGACATTAGCGAGAATTCAGGCTTAACCACTTTTTGTGTTTGTCTTGATGCATGCTCAATCATCTGGGTAAGTAAATCTCCAAAAGTTGATTCTGTTTATCTGGACGTAGCGTTTTGTGGGAAAAACATTTCATCACTCATCCAAGTGACTTCTTCAGTCTCAGATGACTGCAGGTTTCCCCAATCTTATAAACAGTACATTGTACTGTACAGTTCTCCCACAAAACGCTACGTCCAGATGAACAGAATCAACTTTTGGACACTTTTTGTGTTGATTTAACTTGTTGCCTTGCATCTTTCGTATACAGTCCATGCTTATGAGCCTAACTGAGATCCGAGGTGTTCCTGTGTTTAACAAAGAAACTCTCACAGCTCAAACATGCCTTCTTCATCATTCTTTAATATTAAAACAGCAAAAAAATTTACAATAAGCTTTTCATCACTCATCCCACATCCACATTGCCCCCCTCCCTCCCACCCTCCCCAGAACAAAATCCATCCCCTCACGGACTCCATGTTACAAAGCACAGATACATATGGCTTTAAGTGTGTTGCATCAGCAGCTGCTCGCTCCGCGATGCAAAGCGCTCATCTCTGAATGAATTATGAGAGTGGCCGTATCCTGGGCTACCAAAACAGTTGTCATGGCAACTACCTGCAAGCCAAGCACTGGGGGGATTTTTCACCCCCGACGCACGCCAACTCCTGCAACTGTTTTTATCCTCGCGTGGAGATGAACCTCGCTGAGGATGCTCGTCTCTGTGATTGATGGCACTTGTGAGCGGCCGAGCGGTAATTGTGGGAATCGCTCTCAGAGCCGTAATCACAGCGAGGAGCGCTCTCGGGCGTCGTATTGGCATAACATTTATTATGCTTTTATTGCAGTGTTTTCTGGATAACACTACAACCACAATGTATTTACGAAAGAAAAGACTTGAAGCAGCTGGAAATGGATAAACTGAAGAGAACAACAGAACCAAATACAGTGAAAACTTCTGGCACCTAATCAGTTAAAGGTGATTCTAAACCAAGTTTTGGACCACATACTTAAATATACAAAAACAGAACGGCCTGCAGCTACCTAAAAAAAAGAAATTACAGCATAAAATATACATTATAAGCCAAATGTCACAATTTAACCTGCAACAGAGGTGCTCAAATACCCACGAGAAAAATTAAACCAAAGTACGCTGTCCTGAAATGTAGTCCAGGCCAAACTATGAGTAGCTATTAAGCTCCTCCACACCTGCACAACACCAAAAAAACTGGTGTGAAATGGTAAATATCTACTCTTAGATGTAATAAATTAATAAATAACTCTCTGTTTCAGTAAGAACAAGGAAACATAGCGTGCTTAAAAAAAGATCTTGTAACTGTCGTACATCTGTTTAGCACTATTGCTGTCTATAAGCTTGATGAGTCAAACTTTGTAAGCTGCCCCCACATAAATAATCCACAGGATAGCATCACAAACACCTGGGGAAATGAGACGAGCATCAACAGGAAAAAGAAGGTAACAACATGACCTGAAAACGCCCTTGAAGTCGGGTTTTTAATCATGGCTTTATCTATAAAACTGATGTTTTTCTACTTTTTTATCCTCTCAGCTCTGGAAGATTCTTGACCTCTGGGTCAGGTTGGTATCGTTGGTATCATTATGCTTTAATATTTTGAGAAAGACACAACAGTTGATGCAAGGTGTGAGCTAAGAGTCCCGTCTTTACAAACCATACCAGAAGTAAGTCTGTGTTTCAGTGTGTGACCACTTTCCTAATGGATAAGGTGTCAGACTTCGGATCAGGAAATTAAGGGTTCGAGTCCCTTTGTCTTGTAAAAATGAGTTTCATATCCACCAACACTGCTAATAAAAAGTGTAATGATTCCATGACACCAAAGCACAAACTGTGATGATTGTCTCCAAACACTTGCAGGCTGCCTTTTGACCGACTGCAATCGCTCTCAGATTGATTGCCAACAAGTTGCAGTAACTCCTGGTACAACTGAGATGCTTTGCAATAAGAGGCTCAACTCAACTGGTTGTATTGTTTAAAAATAAAAAAGCCCCTATGTTATTATCTGTGGAGGAATTTCTGTTTCAAATCTGTGATGTTGTAACTGGTGTGAGTTTCTGTGCATGTAGTTGGCAAAAGATCTTTGATTTTATCTGATTTATCAGCCTTTACGGCTGTATTCTGACAAACTCAAACTGTCAACATGACCCCAATTAATCACAGACTGAAAGCAGATCGACTCCATCACACTGCCATTTAATTCAGGTTTATTTATATAGCGCCAAATGACAACAATAGTTGCCTCAAGGCGCCTTAAACCGTAAGATAAACACCTTACAGTTTCATCACTGCCTCGACGCACCGAAATCGAAGCAATAATTTAAAAGGCAACAAGATTGGACGTCCACTTGTTGCTGTTGTTTTCCCTGGTGTGACTGTAGCATTAGCTGTATTTTAACACACCTCACCGGGACACTGCCTCAAACAGCTCCTCCTCTACTAATGATCAGGAATAAACTGGAAAAAGGAGTTGGTTTTTGTGCTGGTTGGTGATATTTGAATACATGGACCGTTTTAAGTTGTTTTGACGGAGGAACGTCTCAATCACACCTTGAACAACAGGTTTCTGAATCAGCCATTAAACTCTAGGCAACAAGGATTCACAGATTTTAAACTAATCTAAACCTTAAAGGTTAAAAAAAAAAGCAATTTCTCAATTATATTTGAACTCCGATTAACAACTCCAACAAGATCTCACAGTTTTCTCACAGTTTGAAACTTGAACAGTTCTAAATGCTTCTTTCACAGGCTTGTTTGTGCCACCAGGACAAAAAAAAGAAAGAGGTGATAAATCCAGGGACAGTCACCGACAACCTCTGACAGCAGGTGAAAACTTATTTCTACTGAGGTGACACAGACTATTCTGATATGTCAATAAGAAGCTTTTCCTGTCTGTCAAACATTGTGCTACAGGTATAAAACACACACACACACACACACACGCTCAGAAACAGTAGCGAGCCCATTCCCTCTCACTCGTCATCCCGTTGGTTGAGTAACGATGACGCATCGAGGAGACATCCTCTGAAATATCCAATTAGGGAGTGAGTCAGTTGAATCTGGCTGCGTCTTGACAGGAAGTGGCCTTCATCTGGGAAGATCTGGCCCAGAAAGAGGAGAGAATTTAAAACACTCCGTCCAAATGAAACATCTGAACAACCTCTGGAAAAATTCTTGTAGTGAGCTTTAAGTTTTATTCTTCACTTTCACTCAAGGTTCACTTTACTCGAATGTGCTCAAGGTTTTGACCACAATAGAAATGTATGTCCTTGAGTCTCCTTGCTTTATAGTGACTGGACTGTAGATATCCAACAAATAAATCCTCTGAGTGCTCAGAATTTAACAGCTACACTTACGTCTGCACCGGAGGGCTCTGGGATTTGGGCAAAAGTTGTGAAACAAGTGATGAAGTGGACTAAAAAATGGATTTATTTGATTGACCAATTTATTTTCACAAACACAAAGACGGTGAAATAAGTCAGAATTTCTAAAATAACTTGTCACAATATTTTGAAGGCTGTGAAAAAATCTGTGAAATAAAAGCAGCTAACCTTCTCTTTGAGACTTGAAACTACAACATTTAGAAATTCTAGGAAAAACAGAGCTTACACCAGTGCTGCTGCGATACCAAGTAAATACAGGACCAGTATAACCAATACTAATACAGATACTGATAGTTTTAACCCATGATTGGAGGAGCAATATGTCATGATTTATCAAGTCTGAACACATTTTAATCACCAATAAGTTACTTCAGTCATTTCTGCTTTCCATAATGAGGAGTTAACAGACCAAAACACACCTTTCATTAAAGTGTTGCTGCTTTCTTGATGAACAGGAGCAAAGCGCTGAATTTAGACGAGACAAAGAAACGCGAGCATCAATCCAATCGTGCTAGTATCCGATACCAATACCAGCTTTAGTATCAATACTGTTAACATCTGGATCAATCTGCCCACTCCTATCTCGCAGCTCACTTTGAAACAAGATATGTGAGAAGCTTTTATCTGTTTATCTGTCTGTGGAAAAACTAGGAGCAAATCTGTGTATCAGAGAAAATCAGGTTCCTCTACTTTCTGGGGAGATACTTAGATTTGAGTCTGGGCTTTTTGAGTGATTGCTGGCTATCACCAGATGAAACTGGTTACAAAGAAGTTTCTGCACCAAAACCTCCTTGTGATTGCTTTGGTTGCTGGAAAAATTACTGCAGTCGTCTGTAGTTATCTTTTGTATGTAAGACACCAAGTTGTCAGCAAACACTCAACTATTCACTGACTGTCAAACTGAAGAGTGTAACGCAAACCGGAAATAGAGAATGTCCAAGTAAAAGTTTGGTTTACCACATCACCAAACTATGTTACAGAAAGTGCAGCGTTTACTCTTCGGTTTGACAACTGCTCAGCGAGTAGCTGGCAAGAATTTGCTAATGCGAAAAACTACAGACGACAGGTCGCAATTTTCCAGCAACCAAAGCAAAGGTGGATTTTTACTGACACTGTAAGACTGTGGAAGAGATGGTTTACAGTATTTGCAGCCGTACTTAGGTAAATATGATTGGATTGCTCTCTTGTTAACAGATGATATGCATCACTCTGTTTAAGAAATATGCTACCTTTGCTAGCTTATATGCTATCTTACCTTAGCTTAATTCAAACACTGGAAACAGAAGCAAATGGCAGTCAAATGGCAGCAATACCCACCTAGCAGCATCTCTAAAGTTTACTCATTAGTTATGTTTTTAATTATATATATATTTTACTATAAGCATAAAAGCAACATGTTTACAGGTTTGTTCTTTAGCATATTTTCCAAAACTTAACCATTTTCGAGTATTGTCACAAAACACATTTTTTCAGTGAAGTTTGGCACAGAGAGGTTTTTAAAACATGTTTAAGTGAAGAATGGACCAGCTGTGACCATGCTAAGCTGTGATAAGCTAATCATCAAAACTAAAGCTATTTATTGAATGATGGCTCTTCATAAGTACCTTTAAAGTGGGGTAAAGTGAGTTTTTAAATATTAAAAAAATTCCTAAAAGTCACATTTTTACCATGAAGTTTAGAACTCAAGTACAGGACTGCAAATCTCCTGTGCCACACTGGAGTAAATAAAGACTGCATAACAGTGCACTGATACATAATGGAGAATGACCCATTTTAATTAAAAGCCACAGCTGCTGTTTGCAAAGACTCTTTATAAGAGCCGAGTGTTTACCTGCATAGTGTAGTTGGCTCCTATCTTTATTAAGTGCTTGATGAGCTCGGCCGAGTGCTGGAAGTGAACATTGGCTGCCGAGACACAAAAAAACAGGACATGCAAATAAGTGTCGGAGAGGTTAATTCCACCGCTGGATAAAAGGCGCCGCACTCGCTGAGGTCAAGTTTTAAAGCTCAGCATAGCAAAGAGGCTCGTGAGACTCACGCCTACCTTCAGTAGCTCACATTACTACGATGTTACTGTGAAATGAAGTCAAATTACATCCTCAGTTTCTGCTGTTCTGTGAGGAGGATGAAGGAAATGTGCATACCGTCAGCAGTGCCGTGGACCAGGAATAGAGTTCCTCCCAGATTTTTCATGCCGGACAGCACTTTGGAAGCCTGAAGATTGGACACAAATCAAATTATTTGTCGCATTAACATCAGGTCATAACATTACAAGCATCAGAATTTGATTGAAGTGTCAAAAGTGTAAGAAAAGTTAATCGTGAAGTTTCCACTTGAGGAAGCGGATTGTAAGATCATTAACAGGAAAAAATATATAAGAAGCTAATTTTTTCTTGTTGGCTGATGCTCTTCCTGTGCAAGCTTGGCTTCATCTCACAGTCTAAAGGCATGTTAGATTAATTGGTGATTCTAGGTGAAGATGTGAGAGTGAGATGTTTCTCTGTCCATCTATCTGGGGTCTACCCTGCTCCAGATCCCTTGTGACTCGTGGAGTAAACAGAAGCTTTAAGCTAAATATACTGGAAATCACTAATTATTAAAGCAAGTAACCATCTTCTTGATGAAAAATTATATGAACGTAGACGTGCCAAACCTGTCATTCCTCTTGTAAGCGCATCCATCTCCATTCAATTTTTTTAAATGTTTACCTTTACAGTAATCAAAAGCACGGTTATAGGCCACAAACTGCCCTGTTTCCCCCTGCATGACAACTGCATGATGGGTTATTTGTCTCTTTTTTTCTTTTAATAGCTTCTCAGTCTCATACTTCTTCTTTGAGCTGCTCCTTCAAGGGGTCGCCACTTTGGATCATCTATCTCACGCTATGCCTGGCATCCTCCTCTGTCACACCAGCCCATCCTTCACTATATGAACCTGCTCTGAGGTCTTCCTCTCACTCCGGCGCTCCTGCTTTTCCTTCTCTTTAACTGCCTCTGAACATGCCTTCCCCTCCCCTCTTCAGCCAGCAGTAGCACAGTTTCCACGTCATTCCATGGTTCACATTATTGATTATCTGCTTGCTTGCTTGCTTGCTTAGGTGCATATTTTACACTGGAATCCCTTCCTGACACAACCTTCTTCTTTCATTCAGTCTTGGGACTGAAACTAGGAGTACTGGTTTGTAGTCTGGCTTGTAGCTCAAACAGCGGTAACAGGAAGGTTAAGCCTGCAAGACCTCCTTGGCTAATCAGAGTCACTAAACTGGACCTTTACACTGCATTTGTGCTGCAGGTGCCTTTTTAATCTAATAGGAGGCTGAGGGGTAGAACTGGCAGCCATCAGTATTTTTCACCCCCTGAAGCGAGGAAGTATGCAATCAGCTCCCCTTGTTTGTCTGTTTATTAGCAGTCCAGCGTCCACAGTTTTCAGGATATTGTTGTGTGATGGTAGTTACCAATAATAGCTCAAGCTGATTTAATTTTAGTGAAAATCAGGTCAGGGTCACATGAATGTGAATATCAGTAAAAACTTTAGATTATCCACAACTTTTTATGTATTGTCTTCAAACTTCACAACAATATACCAGGACTTGGGGGACACGAGTACCTCGGTTGAGTAAAAACATTTGATGTTGATATCACTGTTAGCAGCACAATGACAGCGTAACACATTGACGTCGGCATGTTGTAATAAATAATTAGAATAATTCTAATTCTAATTCTAAAAACAAAAAACAAAGTTTCAGTGTAGCCCTTGTCCTTCAGGCTGACTTGAGCTCTCTGAATGCTCGTGTTTCGTGTTTCCATCTGAGGTCATTTCTTATATTTATTTAGCCTGGAAAAACTCGACCTTAGAGTTATATATGTAGTCTGCTTGAATTAAAGCCACTGATATAAAGGCGCTATACTCACATGATGTAACGTGAGCCACTTTAAGTGTGATGATCCCGTCTGTTGTCCTTCATGCTGTTTGATTTGCTTTTTTGGGATTAAGATATTTAAAAACTAAGCAAAAAAACATTTTTTTAAACCAAGATGCCAGACTGATAGCGATCGCTCTGGGAGGGTGAAGCTTTAATATTACAGGATGTCTCAGTCTCACTGCCGTCATTCATTTTGTTCCCAGCTGGAATTCAAACCCGCAGCCAGCCATCAACCACGGCATGTTTTCTCACCCGTCAGTTTCTGCATCTCGGAGGACTGGGTGAGTGATGATGCCCTGCTGATTATTGTCTGATCAGATCGTGCCACATTTCCTTCTCTGGGTGACTTTTGAAGCAGACCACCCCTCCTGCTGCGAGAGTCACAAAAATAGAGCTCTCTGGCCCAGTTACAGGCAACCCACTTAGGAAGAAAAACACTCTCTGACTGCAACCTTCACTTGGAGGACAGCTGGGTGATTTTGTTTTTTTTAGGATGGCATTCCTCTGTTCCTAAATGTTTTCTTCTTCTTTACTGTTTGTTCTTTACTTTTAAAAAATGGGAGCTGTATAATTTGTGTTGGCTGTCTAACCTCTGCTATACTGTAAAATGTAGAACTGATTGGGAATCAAACAGGTAAATGTGAAACCCACCCAGCCACCTGCATCATCAGCCAGCTGCATTTCCCATTAAAGTGGCTCTAAGTTTGCACTCTCCTTCTTGGTTTCAGAGATTTGAGCTGCATGAAGCAGCCTGTACGGCTGCCAGCTTACCTCCACGCCTCGGTTTAAACACAGTAAAGATAAAAAGATAAAGGTGTCAGGTCGCAGGACATTTTATCATCAGCTGTGCTTCTTGTTCAAACACATTGCTGTCTATAAATGGAACAAGCTACAAAAAAAACTATTCTCTGATTTTGCTGGAGCGTTTTAAAGGGTCGTCTTTGTCTCCCTGCAACAACCCCAGCACACCTTTTTCTTTTTTTGTGTGTATAATGTGTCTCAATTTCTGTATATGTTTTTTGAACACAGGTCTGTCTTTTCAAAAAGAGATGTTGATCTCAATAAGACTGCCTGTTTAAATAAAGGATTTAATAATAACAAGAAGCACTCAGAGAGCAGCTCAGTCGCTGGACAATATTTACTTTTAAGGGAACAGTACTGTATTTGTATACATTCATTTTGTTTTCTTTGTTATTTTTAAAAGTACTTTAAGCAGTTTGATGTGCAGTAAAAAAATCAGATACTGGTAGCATGAGAGATATTTACTTCACTCTTTACACTACAGTATATGCAGCTTACTCTACTTTCTTTAAGCATGTAATACTTTCTGACGTCCCCTAAAAAAGGCAGATGTGAAATGTAGATGTGAGGTCAGAGGTCAGACGTGACACGATAGCTGATGAGGGACATCCAACTTCCCAGATCCAGTCGCATTTAGCTGAATTTCTTAGCAGTGTTAATTTTATTGACTAACAAATGATAACTAAACAAAAACAAAAACTGGAGAGACGAGATCCAATCAGAACTTATGAAGTTGTGAGCAAGGCGGGACGAGTTTGGAAGTAATCCAATCAGAAGTAATCAGACATACACATTTGAGCTGCCCTCGGGAAACGACGCAACCACCTCACATGCTCGCAGTTTCTCTCGAAAACGCTTGGGAGGAAGAGACGAGCGGACATATGGACATGTTTCACATTTGATGGACAGGAAAATAAGATGCCGTGTGGAGGAACGCTCACGCTACAACAATTAGTTGAATAAAAATAAAAGAGTTTAAATGCTTCAACTATGACTAAAATGAAATGAATCTAAGTCATCCGTTAATAAAGAAGCAGGTGGGTAAAAGACAGACGACGCTCACTTGGTATCTGCTCTCGTCAGTTGAAGGTGAGCCGAAGTATCTCTCTGAGAAGGCTGAGGCTGAAGGGGAAAAGGGAAATCAAAGAGGTTACATGACGTCAGCAACAACCTGAGAACTTTACATAAAACCAAGAAGTGCTGCATGGATCTTCTGGAGGATCTGACAGATCAGTGGCACTGGAATAAGCTAGAAGCCACACATTATGTTAGAGGACACATTTGAAGTTTATTATTCGAGCATATTGGCAAAAAACAAGTTGAAGTCTTCTTCGACTCATGCTGGAAGAACAGTCGGAGGTGGAAAGGCGTCTTCTTTCTGCTTTTTACGAGTGAAGACAGACAGAGAGAGTTGCTTTCTTTGAAGCAGAGGCTTTGCAGCAACACTTCAGTCTATTAAACTCTACTCACAGCCAGCAGGAAGTCCTGAGCTGTACAGGAGTGCTAACGCCCAGCATTCCCTCAAAGAGCTGACGAGAACTTTTTCATCTTTAAATGTAATAACCCTGAATTCCCGAAAGCGAACACAAAGGATAATTAAAGTGACATTACCCCCGGCAGTGCACATGAAAAAGATTGTGCGGGATAAAGATGTTGTGTTCTGAGAAATGACTAGCCGGGTTCAGCAGCAGCAGCAGAAGTAATAAATATTTCCGCGTCTCTGGAGCGTTGTATTAAAGAGGATTCAAATTCCTGCTCACCGTACATGCTCCAGTCGGTGACGGGAGCGCGAACAGCTGCGCAGCTGATCAGCTTCTCTGTCGACTTCAGCATCATCAGTGCAAGGTAGCCACCGTAGCCCTGCAGGGGAGACATTAGAGGAGCGTCACTTGCACCGAGAAAACAGCAGGACGTTTCTATCGTGTTTACACAGCATCAAAAAATGGCAGTCTCTGCATGGATCTGTACTTCATTACATTTATATATGGTCTCCAGCAAGAGCAGCTGGCAGCAGAACTGTTGAAACATCTTTAACAAACTAATAAAGAAAGACAAAACTAAATTTGAGGGAATAATGTGTAATTTAATTGGGGATTTTGTGGTATTAGTGGGCTGTTCTGGGTTTAAAAACAGGAGCATTATATTACAAGTAGCTCAAAGAGTAAATACACTGTGTGATGATGGCAGTGATGGTTTGGGGAGGCGTATCCTTGGAGGGTCACACAGACCTGTGCTAGCCAGCGGTACCCAGACTACTCAGACCAAGAGAAACTCCTGTTCCTCCTGGTACAGGTCATAAACAAGTCTCCTATGGCCAGAACCTGTAAGTAGTTCCTGGATGACAAATGTCGCCTCCTAATGAAGGGCCACAAGTGCCAAAATGAATTAACTGAGTACATCATTAAATCATTCATTTAAGGTGTCATTAATAAATAATTACATTTGTAAATGAAAAATTATTTAAATATACAAATAATTAATATTAAGTAATTTCATTTAAAACAGTTAATACAGCATTTATTATTTTAATTAATTATTATTAGATTCAATTATAATTTAATGAGGAATTTAATTACCTCAGTACATCAAATAAATTCATTTTGGCGCTCACAGCCCTCCATACTCCAGTGCACCTCTTTTTTTTTTTGTACCAAAGCGGCTGAAATGGATTCACAGTGGTTTCTACTTCTTAAATAGGCAGACTGAAGCTTCACTGAGTTGTTATAGTTAATGATAGCAGAGTACATTTTCACCATGTTTTCTTTGTAAAATCTCATTTCCTCTTTTTTGTGGGATTAATTCACTGGATGAGGAGGAAACAGAAATCAGAGTTTTGACTGGGCAGTCACTACAGTTACTGTACCGATCACACGTGTATTCAGGGTTAGGTCAGGGCGTGAGAGACGAACCTCGCCGAAGACTCCAACACGAGTGTGATCGATGAACGGCCGCTCCGCCAGGAAACTGAAAAACACAGCGGCTATTTTTAACAAGTGGAAAGGAAGTGGGTATCAGAAAGTAAGAGAGGTAATTATAACTTTATATTTCATTTCACACATCACACACTCGGCTGAAGCTCCAGAAGGAAGGTCAAAGGTCAAAGGCGTGAGAGAAGTTTTTGAATACAAATTTATATGTTTTCCAGAAATATTACTATTCATAAAGAAATAGATTTTTCCTTTACATCTCCCAAAGTTTTGAACAAAGATCACTTACACCAGACCTCATTCTAATCATCTCATCAAGCGGTGTGGCCTCCAGTATTCCCATAATATGGTCAATAAAAGGTATAACAGTTGTAAAAATGACCATTTAAATGTTTTATCTTCTTTAAGAAACAGTGACACGCTCTAAAATGTCCTTTTCAAAGATGTTTAGAGCTCATAAAACAAGCACCTTTATATCCAGAAAACTGGAAACAGAGATTCGATTGATTTTCTTCTGTTCACAAACTCAATTAGTTTCTTCGGGCCAAGGAGTTATGTTTTCAGTAGCATTTACACGTGTGCTTCATTCTGTCTGTAAACATGAAAGCTCTTAAGGTTTAAATGAATTTTGACAAAACTCTGTAGGCGAGTAGCGTGCACTCATGTTAACAAGCCATTAAAATTAGCCTTACATCCATCGAGGTCTTCAAGGTCAACTTACTGGTGGAAAAATGACAAAAAGCCTTAGAAACCAGAAACTATGATTCTCACAAGTCTGGTCTGTTGTCAATACAGAAAGTAACATATAAAGGTTTAAACCTCAAATCACATTTGACCTCTGACCTCTTCTTCAAGGTCAACAGATTGAGCTGAAAGTCAAAGTGATCATTAATGTTTCTTACTGCCATATCGTGTATTGACAGCATACAGACATGTAGGGAATGACAAACAGGAGGACTTTAAATATATTACGTTACTTTGGAACTCTGACAAGTTTATTAAGGTCAAACTTTATTTGTTTGTATCAGCAACATTTAGGAAAGAATTATGAATATCCTACAAATATCGTGTCACATCTGACCTCTGACTTCACTCTGACCTTGGGTTTTATGGCACTACAAACTTCAAACTTCTTAAAATAATTTTTAAAATAACAAAGAAAACAAAATGAATATATACAAAATACAAAGCAGCACTCAGAAGCTTCTTGTTATAGATCATTTAAGCGCTTTGCTTTTTTACTTTTTTAATGTATGCATCTTGTTTATGTTTTCCCGCCCAAGAACACCACAGAGTCATCTGCGAAGCTCTGACGAATTCTCTGTCTAACAGAGAAATGGTGCTCCAGGGTGGATGAAGGCGTGCAGAGCAGCGCTACGTACTTCAGAGCTGCTATGTAGTCCTCCACGTCCGCTATGCCGAGCCTCTGCTGTGAAAAACTGCCAGAGGACAAAAGACAAAGAGACTACCTGTGAGGTCAGGAAGGACTGAAACAACTTCTGTTACTAAAAAAACAAAAACTGTTACCTTTGACCTCTGAACCCTGACCCCCTGCCATCAATCCGCGCCACGATGACCTGCTCCAATCCTGCCAGCACCGAGTCCCACTCCAGCCTGAACTCCTCCGTCACTGTCTGGGTGCCTGGAGAGCTGTCGCTGTCGGGAAGGTTGTTTTACTCACATTAATGTACTGACTCTTAGATCCGGACATATTTGTAGTTTACTGTGTGAGAGTGGCGCTTCACTGAAGCATTTTGACCCTTGGCCCTGACCCATTTTTGCTCTAATGGTCACCATAATTTACAAAATGAGCATCATGCTGTACTGAGAAAGACTTAAAACTAGCCACCGAGGGCATAAACCCATGAGAAAAATGTTAACTAAGGACATAAATGAAGGGAACTGAAGGTCGTTTAGACTTCTGTATAACCACGTCTTTCTGAAACCAGTCTGCATGTATATAAAACTGCAGGATGATTTTAGCTATGACATTTACATTTTTCTCAAACATCCATTTTCATCTCCACAAATGTGTCCGACAGCCTGCAGCTACACTGCACTTTCATTTTTAGCTGTCCTCACAGAGTCTGGCCTTTGAAGCTCACAGTGCTGCGATAAAATAAAATAAAAAAAGCAAATGTAATAAAGTGGAAAAGGCTTACACAATAAGAAGAAGGCCGTAGATGTAGGAGTCAGAGAAGTCAGGAGGATAGATGAGCTTCAGAGGCAGCCCTGTGAGAAGACATGCAGAAATATTAGCTGGAGACGAGGCGGGGATAAAAAAAATGCACGCACAGACACGTAAACATGACGACACGTGCACAGACTCAAACACGCTCGTGTCATTTACTCTCGGAGTGGCTCAATTATCTCATGAAGCTCACAGACTAGCACAGCTGTTAAGTGCAGATAATTTGTACCAAAGGTTGTGTTAGTGATCTCTGTCCGAATCATCCTTTTAGTCTCCAGCGCCGAGCACAGGGGGAGGTTGTTCTCCAAGACAAAATACGCTGTGAAGAAGAAATCATGTTTATCAGAGTGCAACAAAGCTGTTATTAAGACGAGAAAAATCATTAAAAGGTGCTAAGAGGTCCAGGATGCTCGGAGCGGAGCAGTTAATTCTCTGAGTGTTTTTCTATCAAGTCTTCATCGACTGCTGGTTACTACGCCACTGTTATTTTTTTATGTAAATATTATTATGGACTGAAACAGGGTTTTTTGACATACAAAAACATCACAAAATCTCACCTCAGGATTAGCTGGCACAGTAAAAAGAAGTCATGACTTGACGTTGCTATTCACAAGCTATATCTCAGACTCTACAGGTCTCAGTTAGCATGATAAACGTTCAAGTTCATGACTTCTGGAACAATGTCCTTTGGAAAGAAGAGACCAAAATCAAGATGTTTGGTCAGAAAGCACAAAATCAAACATCTGATACCAGCTGTCAGCACAGTGGTGGAGGAGTCATAATTTAGGCTTGCTTTACAGCCACAGGACACCTGAGTCCATCAGTCTAACGGCTAAAGCTAAAGATTACTTCAAGTTATTGCTGTTAGAGGTGTATTCACAAACTACTGAATCATGGGGCATAATTAGTTTTCTAATCAGAATCAGAATCAGAATACTTTATTGATCCCTAAGGGAAATTATTTTTTGTTACAGATTCGTTCTAATCAGCTCAGAGGGGACCGTGGCTTCACTGCTGCAGCTCCTAAAATGTGGAACAATTTCTCTTCTCTGTCTGTTTTTAAATCTCTTGTTAAAACCTGCATCTTCTCCTTTGGTTCATTGTGGTTGTTTGTAAAGTGCTTTACAAATAAAGTTGGTATAGTATGGTAGTTTTCACTGTTACCTCCTGTGGGTGGAAAAACCCAGGACGTGACTCTCTGTTCTCACCAAATATTGACCCTGATAGAGGATGACCCCTACCTTCAAACAGCTGTGTTTAGAGATCAGAAGAGTAGATCTGCATGATGTTTTTACTGATCTCAGTTGAGGGTCTGCAGACCGAGGCCGCTGCATGTAGCATGGATTATGAGCCTGCTTGAGTAAAATGTAAAACTTGCTAATGTTTATCCAACTACAACACAGCTGATATCATGGCTAGAAAGACTAAACAGTGTCATAAATAGATGCCTCATACAGGAGGTGTTTATTAAAAGGTACGACACTCATATGCGAGTTTGTAATGAGCAGCTAATTGTGTTGGTGTTTTTCCATCAGGTCCTCATTGATTAATAGCAAAAGGTCTAACTTGCAGTTTTATTAACATGCTCACAGTTTCTCATTTGAGCTTTGCCTCTGATGTATGATTGATCAGCTAGAAGAGTTCAGAAAGTTCATTACTGTATGGATTACAGCGAAAAACCTGCAGTGTAAGACTGGTTTACTGATGACCATGAACCAGACCAACCAGTAAATATTTTCTGGCTTGGCAACACATCAAAATCACCTTTGAGGAGAAAAACACCCACCACACCTGCAGTTCTCTCCTTAAACACCACATAGGCCTCAATATAACATGACCCTGCTTAGAATATGACCACTCACCTTTTACCTGTTATTTAAGGAAAATGTCCTTTTATAGGAAACCCTTTTACACTCATTATTTGAGGAAGTTTCCCAAGATGCTATTACTGCAAAGCAGGGTCTTATCAGAGGGATGCTTCATTAGTCACTCTTCCCAAATTACCTAATGCAAAATGTTTTTTGAGCGTGTTTTCACCTTTTTCAAATCAGTCTGAGTGCAGCTGGTGCAGATTGTGAAACCCCCGTGAGAAAGCTTTGCCGTTTGTAATACTGGACTATAAAAAACACAGACTTAACTTGACAGCTGTCACTCTTGGCTGTTTAATTTCTCTCTGATCATTTATGCAGCAAATGCACTGGGAGACCTTCAGTCGTAATTCATCTATTTTCTATGTGGCTGCAAAACGCACCAGACTTCAGCAAAGGCTGCTGGGTAAACTGGCTATAAATCCACTGTATGAACAGGCTGAAAGCATTTGCTGATAAGCAACATAAATAATCCATATTGCAGACCAGTCATGGTGGTGTTCTCTGATAAACTATATCTGATTTCTCTCCCCACCCCCCCACCCCCAATCTTATTTCTAAGGGAAACTTACATAAGGAAACTTTGTTGATTGCATATAAAAGGTGAATTTTCTCCTTTCCTCTCCATCCTCGAGTGTCTGCCCTGCCTCTGCCTTGTACTCCAATCAGCCCTCTGACAGAGTCCACCTCAAACAGGCATTAGAAGAACTACAGTTTTTGGTACTTTAGCTGTGGATTTATTTTTCAGCCCTGGACCTTCAGTGGGTTCTTGTCTGCCCCCCATAGTCTCCAAGTGCCACAGCAAGTGGCAGTAATACACTCACTGAGAAGCAACAGTGAGCTTGGTGATGTTTTTTAAACAAGCACGTTTTTTGGAGAAAGTTGATCCTCTTACGACAAGCATGTGGTTTGTTATCCCTGAAAACTTCAGCATTTGGAAGAATTTCTCACAAAAGGAACCCCAGAAAACATAACTACGTTTGTTACTTCAGCCTGACTTTAACAAAACACAATGTGGCTCGACACGACGAGGCTGCCCTGTAGCATTTTGAGGTGATTTCCCCTAAAAACAGACACATGGAAACTGTTACTGTACAGCTTTTAATTCCTGCTTTTGTGTAACGAAAAACTCTGCAGCTCGTGCATTTGAAGAAGCACAAGCACACGGCAAAGCAAAGGTGTCACTGCCGCGATTATAACCTCGACTGTGCATAAGGTTGGTGGCCTCTTCTTTCACTATGTTTGTAGAAGCAGTCTGCACAGCTAGCTGCTTTATTTCATCCACCTGTGGTCATGAAAGTGACTGGAACACCATGGCTGAGTGAATACTTTTGGAAATGTAGTGTAGCTGTCCTCTCTCTGGCATTCTATCAGTGCACCACTAACTTACACAGATGGTATCCAAATCCACTCTTTCACAATCTTTTAATGAATTCCCCTTGCAGCCCCGCTGATGATTAGCTCTTCTAAAACACTAAGCGATGACACCCGCCCGTTTAAACTGTGATACAAAGCACGTTAAACGCCTCCAAAATGCAGAAATTATCAGCGCGGTCTGGCACCAAATCCAGCAGCTGCTCATGTTTCCACACAAATGAGATGATGTCGCCTAATTGCAGAAAACTATTTTCCATTTCAGAGCAGAAGTGAGAAAAAAGCACATCTGCCCGCCCACGCAAACATCGCACAAACACCATCAGGCGGAGTAAAGACTCCACTCACAGTCTACGTCGGCGAGACTGACGAGCAGCACAGCTGGAACTCCGGGACCTGCGATGGGAGACAGAGAGAGAGAGAGAGGTTGAGAGATGACTGTGTGCTTGTGAATAAAAAGCTCCATGCTGATGCAGCCTGCTTTAGGTTGTGTTTTGACCAATTATCAGTCATGCAAAAGCAAAAAAGAACAACTTATTCTGAACATCAGGAGTATTTTTATTTTTATTTCTGCAGTTGTTATGCGATTAAAGCAAAAAGAGTAAAACTGGAGATTTCAATCAGGTTTAATTCTCTCAGCCAAGCTCTAAATGCAGCTTTCCTTTGCATTTGCCATATTAGAAAGTAAAAGTGAACAATGTTGTCGATAGATGGTGTTGTCTGGCTTTAGATTGAGTGCGTTATTTGTCTGGAGAAATAAACTAGCATGGCTAACATGGAGCCAAAGAAGCCAAAAAGCCAACCGGAAACCAAACACGCCTTCAGAGGGAAACAGAGGCAGCAAGAATGAGCAGATTTTATGAGCTAGTGAAGCTTGTTGGCATGTGATTGACTGTTGTGATAGGCTGCAGCACCACATGTTGCTCCTGAACCAAAGAAAACTGTAGGCATCATGACTGAAAGTGGCTTCATTTCACAACACGATCAAAAAGAAGAACCAGAATAAGGCTGCTTTCTGTTGCTATAAAAGCAAGCATGCAGTGTATCGTGGAGAGCTTTGGGTGCAGAAAGTTTGGAAACCACTGGAGGTTTAACAGACGTCTGGATCACTGATTCAAAAATGCAAACAGGGCTTTATAGTTTTATAAACAACACAGTGAGCCAAACAACCTCTGCTCCAGGTACCCAGATTAGTTCTACTGTATGACATCTGTTAAAAATGTAAAATAAAAACAAGTGTTTTTCATTTACACTGGAAAATCTAATTCAATTATAAGATTTTACATATGGGGACATAATACAGTCATGTGTTCCTCGCCAGGTTCTAAAGTTACTTAAATAAAACCTCAGATGAACAACAGCACGACATGTTACACTGTGTCATTATTTAACAAGAACCAAAATGCTGAACCTAAGCACACCTCAGGATTCAGCAGCCTGTAGAAGCACCTTCAGCAGCATCACTGTGAAGGACACTTGGTCCATTCAATCAATCAATCAATCAATCAAGGCTTTATTCGCCACGTGCAGGTTGCCCTGCAGTGAAATAGGACCCCCCCGACCTTACACACACAACACAGACATCACATGGGGATACAGGTCGGAGATCAGTAGCGTTACAGAAAAAAAAAACACTGAAATATACACTACAATGGGAAAGTACAAGAGGAAAAAAAGAGACCTCTACTCATGCTGGGCTCCTGGGAGGACAGCATGAGAACAGGAAACAAAAAAAG